GGCAAACCCTGGCAGACAATCTGAACTCCCTCTTCGGCCCCGGGAAAAACCCACGGGGAAGGCTGCTCCTGGGATGCCCAAGGGATACCCTTGCCCTGCTCTGGCTCCGTGAACGGCCAGGCAAAAGAGGGATGTCCGTTGCACCAGCCTTTCCCCCACGCCTTGACTTGCTTTGTATTTTGTGGTCCTTATAATTCCCTTTTCCACGTGCCCTGCAGAGTTAGGGGCCTGATGATAGCTTAGGAAAGAAAAAAATCTTTGCTCTCCCTCCTTGGCTGGACACTTTAGTTGCAATAAAAGCTGCAGTAGGGTGAGGAGCTGTGTAAGGTGGCTGGAAACCAAGGCTTGCGTTACCTGGGAAGGGTTTTCTGCTTTTGCACCATCACATGGCACTCGTTGCATGAGGGCTGTGTGTGGTGCTGTGCACCCGAATGGGCTGCTTGGACCGGGCCTGTGCTGCCGGGGACTGCAGAGGGCTGGGACAGGCCTGGCTGGGGGAGATGAGCAGTAGCTGCCGGGCACTGGGTGCATGGAGCTGCCAGCAGGGCCTGTGGGATGCATCCTGCCCGGTGCAGCCCCTAGGGGCTGGTACGGTGCTGGGCCGAGCTGGCTCCCCTGCACACCCGGTGCCCATCGCCAGGCTGCTGAAAATAAAACTGTGGCATCTTTCTTTTCCATTATCTCTGTTACTGCCTGTAATGGGGCTGAGAAGCTGTAATGAAACACCCCTTCTCCTCCGTTGGGCACAGGGTGCTCTACACACTCTGGAGGTTGTGGCAATTAACGTTTCTCATTAGGGAAGAGAGAAGGATGCACAAGTGCCCTCATTGTGTCCTGGGGATGATTCAATGCGGACTGGGAGACCTCTCCTTTCACCATTTCCCACTCGTTGTGGCCAGACAAAGGCTGGCGTCTAATTATATTTTCACAATCTGTGCGTATCTTTTAAGAGTCCTGTCAGAAACAAGTATGTCAGCTTTGTTCAGCTTCACTTCAGAGAGCTTTTTAACCTTAGACAGCAGTTTCTAAACATCCCTTCACAGCCTTCTCTGCAGCAGCCCCCACCTATTGTCTGGAGAGCTTCTTTTACAGATAATAATAGGAATCCCTCTATTTTGAAATGCCTTTTCCTCTCTCCCCAGCGTCCCTGCAAATCCAACCTGCCTCTGGAGCAGAGCTCACGCTGTGCCTAGGCTTCCCTTCTGTGGGCTGTGCTGCTCTGGGGGGGTGCAGGGAGCCCCAGAGAGTGGTCCCCACTGAATTGAGGGGGGATGTAGCTCTGCTTGGGCCGGTCCCTCCTGTCAGTGCCGCTGTGTGTACGGCTGTGGTGGTGCCCAGCCTCCCCAGCACACAGCTCTGCTTCTGTGGCAAAGAAAGTGCCCTGCTTGTAGGAAAAGAAAGTGCTGTTGCTCTCAGAACCAGGGAGATACTTTGCTAACTTCTAGTAAGGAGGCCTCCGTAAACTCGGAGGGGGAACAGGAGAAGAACAAAGCTGTGTTTCTTCGGGTTTAAGTCTTGCACCAGTGGTCCTTTCACAGGTGAGCTTTGTTGGCATCACCAAGGGTGCTGCAAAGGAAGGATGTCTCTTGGCGTGCTCGGGAAGTGCCCATGCACCCCGGGCTGCGTCAGTAACAACACACACTAAGGAATGATGGCACAGGCTCCGCGCACTCTTCCTCCTCCTCGCTGTGGGAACAATCCCGCTTGTCATTACTCGGCTGTGGTCCAGCTGTGGCTCTGATGCCCAAACCCCTCCCGCGTGCGAGCATGTTCAACTGGCGCCTGATTCCTGCCTGTGCTTATTGCTCCTGGTGAGCAAATAACCCCCCGAGATGTCAGTGGTGTTCTTCCCCATTCTGACAGCACTGCCCTCCCTCCCTGCTGTTCTTCTCAGCCTGTAAAGACATTGGAACCCGCCCCAACTTTCTCATCAGTGCTGTAACCAGCACTGCTGTTTGGTCGAGGTACTTGGAGAATAACACTAGATGAAAACATGACAGGACAGCAGAAAACAAAACAGTTCCTCTCTTCCATTAAGGTCCTGATCCAACACCTGCAAGTAAGAAGTGAAAGATAATCTCAGGCTGTGGCGATTACTCTTTTACTGACATGTTAAGCAGGTCTTTTGTTATACACTGCACATGTGAACACTGTAAAGCATAAACTGTACAGTCACGTCCTTCAGGAAAGCTATGAGTTTATTACTAAAAATAAAGAGTTCAACAGCTAAGCAGAAGTGGGCACAGGCAGGTAAATACTTCCCAAACAAACACAGGGACAGAGGCATGCATAAAATCACGGCTCCCGTGTGCGCTGCCTGGCTGTGTGTGCTCCTACACTTCCTTCAAACTGTCCTATTCCATTTTAAAAGCTCATTTGTTCATTTTGTTGTAAATATCTTCTCCTTAATTGGGTGCTGAGTCTAATAATCCTGCCTCCGGTTGTTAACTGTACAATAGCAGTCAGAGTTAATGACCCATTAGTGATTAATTCCTTAAACAGCATCTAATTGCTCACTGTAAAACCTTTTCTTAAAAGTGGATTAAATCATCTAGATCCTTAACCACTTCTTTACTCCAACTTTGCTAAGGCTATTAGCATGGCCTGTTCCAAGTGATCTATTTCTTCTTTTGCTTAAACTGTATTAGCAAGGAAGTATTTTTAGTGTCTGTATTTGTATTCTTTGCACCATCTGAATAAGGAATAATAATATGGATAAAAGACTGCCAGTGGAAATGCTAAGAAATGTACTCCTTTGCAAGGAGGCAGTTGCAGACAGTGGACATTGTTATGCCTGCCGTGCCATCCCACCTTTTGGGAGGGGTGGACTTGTAGGACAGGGTTTGTCAGCAGTCACAGCAACTCATGGAAGTGTGTAGGCTTTGGTGGGTGAAGCTCTAAATACTTGTGTCTTTCCAAGAGTAGGTTTTTCAGTTGGGAACAGTATGGATGGGCACACATTTGTTTATGTTAGGCATGAAATTGTCCAGTTTGCATCTGCTTCAAAGCTCTGGAAAAGCAGAATCTCGCCATCTCTGCAGCTGCTTCATCTGTGGCAATGTCTCCACTGGCAAATGAGGTTAATCCCGGTGAGTTCTCATTAAGATGTGAAATGCAGAGAGGTAGACAGACCTCTTTTCATGAGAACTCTTTCCATTAGGCCTGGCTGCGTTTGCCCATCTCAGAAATCCCAGGCTCAACACACAGAAGTGTAAAGCTTTGCATAGGTCAGTGCTATGAGCTATGCAGGACAGAAGAGAGTTACCATAAAGAGCTTTGAAGATATCTGAATTAATAAGTACCAGGAAAATGCCATCATGAAACTCTGTCTCGACGGCACCATTTCTCAGCAGAAAGTGTATTCTAATCTCTCTGCCTCCACACCCCTGTTCAAAATCCTGTCAGAACTCAAGCAAACTCGCAAAGACACCTGACCTATTTAAGCCATGGAGAGGATTGGCATGGAGTCCAGCTCAGTTGCTTTCCAGCAGAGCAAGGCTGGCTCTAGCCAGGGCCAACCCTCCATCCCTGTTGGATGGGGTCAGGAGACCCTTCCAGTTTATTTGATGCTGTGTCTGTGGGATAGGGGAGCCCCATTTTACATGCAGGGAAACTGAGGCACAGGTTTCTCCTTCACGGGTGTCCTGGCAAAGCTCTTGGGTAGACCTGCCCAAACTGGCCCTGCATCCAGCCAGAATCCACCCGCCCGATGGCAGAACCCAGGCGGCACATGAGTTCCTTCCCCATGGACCGGCCCGGCACCGACAGTGGCGCGATGGCGCCGCCTGGTGGAAGCGAGAGGAGTTGCACCACCGGCGGCCGGGGGCTCGGCGCCTGCTCCGCGACAGCAAGGCGGGGGGCATTGCCTGGGACCGACGGTGCCGTGATAGACCGTTTGCACGAGCTTCGTGCAAAGAAGCGCATTTGCCCGATTTCATCCCTTTACCTCTGACCGGCCGG